AGCTCAAAGTCCTAGTACAGCTTTTTACTATTTCCCGAGATGTTAAAGACTAAACAAGTTATCTATTGACTGAGAAAATATTTGGCAGATTAATTGATAATGAAAGGAATCATAAATTGCAGCTTTCCTGCATTTCACTGAACATTTTTAGCATGATATGTAACATTAAAGGATTAAACCAATCAATTAAACAATGTTATAACACATTTTGACTGACTGTACTTTACTTCAGATGTCCAAAAAGCTCAAACGTGCAGGGTTGTCAATAAATTGCTTCTAATTCAGTTCCAGCAGCAGTCAGGACATGTAGTTGTGATATTTAATAGACCCATTTTCCAATCCATCCTGAAAAGCCAACATTTTTCCTCAAGATTTGATCTTTGCCTCTTCTATTTAATCCTCATTATGATCAATGGATGTCTGGAGTAAAAACAGTCTCATTTTAATACATGTTTTGCATTCACGTCTGTATGTAATTATGTGTGTGTGGTGTTGAGAGACATGATCAAAGTTGAGTCTAGATAGAGTTTTGGCAATCACAAACTGTAGAAGGCTTTAGTTTAGAGAAATACAGTAGGATGATGATTTGATTTGAAAATAAAAGGACAAGTAAAATTTGGGTAATGTAAGTATGGCTGGCTACCACTTATTTTGTTGATAAACTGGTCTATAAAATAAAATCCATCAGTTTCCTACAGTGTTTTGTCTGAACAATGGTCCAAAAAGATATTCAGTCCAGTAACACAAAGAAAAGCATGAAACTCTAAGTTTGTCAATTTTGTTTGAAAAAAATAGCTATAAAATGTATTAATCATCAAAATAGCTACTAATAACTTCTCTGTCAATTAACTTATCAACTAGTCAAATGATTGTTTCAGCTATAATGAACAATGAGGTAAGTATCACCTATTTCTTGCTGCCAAACACTAAAGGCACGGTAGTAAAGTACAATGACCACAATGCATTGTGTCTTAGGCAAAAAAAATGGTGTTTCTTAAAAAGTCAGTTGTCTTTTGACTCTAACTTATCAAAGTGAGGCTTTGGTTGGACACTCTTTATGTTTCAGAGGTTAAAAAAAAAAAAATATATATATATATATATTTTAAACAACAAAAAATATTTATCAAAAAACAAGTTTGCAGCATCTAAAGCTAAGCCCAGCCCTATCACACTCCTCTACCTAACCATGCATCAGCTCTATCTCTGTCCCAGGCCTCATTCTCGTTGCAGGAATAAACCCCAGCTGTATCGCTCAGCTGTTTCATAGCCTCATTTCTTCAGTTACATTTCCAGCCCTCAGCTCCAGCACCATCTCCATCCAGGGCAGCTCTCCTCTGGCCCAGTCCCTGCTGCTGCTGCTGCTGCTGCTGCTGCTGCTGCAGCTTGGCATCCCAGTGCACACCAACACTAACAGAGCTTCACCCTGGCCCAAACAGTATCCAACACTAGATAAAAATCATCCACTATAGTTAGAAATACCTTTAGTTTATGAACTGTGTCATGAATTGTGTCATATTTGCTGGGGGACTGCAACACACACTCACCACGGAAAAAAATAAAATAAATAAAATAAAAACAGTGAGAGGCCTGGGAGTTCAGATTTGCGTGTGAAAAAGCATTTGATTTTGCCGTTGACACATCCAAGGCATTGCAATGGAACCAGCCCACTGCAGCTGAAAATAGCTCATAATCAATCAACTGGCAGACACATATCTGTGCTCTTAAAACGTATAAATGTGCAATGCAGAGGGCGGATCAATGGGTGACAGGATTCCAAAAGCATCGATATGGACATGCTCTTTGGCATAACAAGCGCTCGCCATCAGCCCATACTTATTTCCTGTGCCTTTGTCCAATGGGTCGTCCAGCATTGGGCCTGCTGGAAAAAAAAATTCTGCCAGTAGAGCAAGGTCTGTGAAGGACAACACAGATGAAATGGGAGAGGTATGTAATCTGCCCTCACAAAAATATAAATACGACACATAGCTATATCAAAACAAAATTTCTTCCCCTTTGATCTGACGGTGATTTCATGACAATACATCTACTGTCTTAGACTGTTAGCATGTTAGGTTGCTGCCTGCCAATCTGTTCCTCCCACAGACAGCAACATGTAGGCCAACTTCCTCTTTAATTCACTCTCAGTGTGACTGAAAGCACTCTTATCACATTTGTGATCCAAGACATGGCCTACTACATGAACACAATTCTGTGGAAGTTCAATACATGAAATGAGAGAGAGCAGATGTGGAGGACAAAAATAAAAGATGAACTGACAACTTCCTGGACTGACAACAGGATTATAAGAGGAAGGTGGGAAAGAGATCAGAGCCTTATAGTCAAACATGTCTTTTCTGAACTTGGAGTACAACACAACAGACATTCACCAAACAATATTAACACCAAAACATTGCCTGAATCCAAACTCATGAACTCTGCTCTCTTACTTTCAACCCACTTGGCTGCTCAGGCCGTCTGCCAGTGTTTCACTACTTCCAGGATAGTGACCGAGAACAGTTAGTGTAGTTAAGTGGTCATAACAACAATAGGTGTGTGTGTGTGTGTGTGTGTGTGTGTGTGTGTGTGTGTGTGTGTGTGTGTGTATGTGTGTGGGGGGTCCTTTACACACAGACAGGTTTGCTGCCATGTAGGACAAAGTATCTATGAATGTCCTCAATCCTGAGAGTTCATTCAGAGGTTAAAACTGAGAGAGGAAGTAAGTGACAGGCCATGTAGTCAGACAAATTCCAGATATCAATCAAACACAAGACGCTGACAATAGAGGCATGTTGTGGATGTTTCTACAGAACAGTGAGATTTCAAAATGAATTGCAAATGTGAAACGTGTTCTTTCCTGATCTAAAAAACTCATGACAGGTATAGCGATGCTTAGTTTTTCCGCTCATCGAAAACAGGTTGATATTTCAAGATTTTTTTTCTCATAAACTCACAGCACTAAATCACATATACACTTTACTATAGACAAGAGAGAGCAACTGAGCAACATAATACTATAACTATCATACAGCTCATAAAACACAAAACATCTAGGATGAAATCGCAGTTTGTCCATTTGTACATTAAAACCACATGAAGCTGTTACTTATTATCATTATTTATCTACTTTACACACCACTAAAATTATGATTTACTGTCCAAACATACAACTGCTCACCAGCTGTTAACCAATCAGGAGCAGCAACGTAACAGTTAGACAGGCAGTAATAGGATGAGAGCATGAAGGGCAGGAGAAGGGGAAAAAAAAGAGAATAATATAAAAGAGGAGGAACTTAAAAGTTATAGTTAAGCATCAGTCATTTGGCTGTATTTTGGATTGAGGAGAAAAAGATGCTGCCCATTAGAACATAAGAGCAGATAGAGGAGTACAGGAAGCGTATAAAGTCACATATAAACCAGCATCGCTCAATTTATATACTGTATGCTTTTCACTGTCTTCATTTCTCTCTGTTAATGTTTACTCATGTCACAGGACAGCTGTATTTTCAGTGCTTCAGACCGCTGCAAGCCTCTGTGGTTTTAGTTATTACAATATAGAATATGGTTTCTGATTTCAGCTTTCAGGAGAACAGTGTATTCACAGAGTTGTAAAAAGAGGATTTTTAAAAGCTTATGATACCTCAAGATTATGTGGTATCAGTATGACACTGGAATACAAACACTAGATGCTTTTTTACATATTGTGCAGTCGTACTGCACACAAACACAGACAGAGCAGAAAAGACAAACACAGGCCCTGAACTGTAACAGCTCCACCTTACAGATTCATGTGACTCTCCAACCATCACCTGACTATCTCTCTCCTTTCTATGGAAGCTGCTTTCAGGCAGGGCAACCAGGGAAGACTTGACCCGAAGTCTAATTTATGTTCAAGGAACGGAAGATATTCAGGAAAAGAGTACAGAGACGGTTTGTCTACGTGCTATACCATCTTTAAAACATCTCCACTCTACACCCATGGAACATGGGCTCACAGATCGCTGACAACAAGACAATATCCCCAGTCACTGATAAAGTGTGCCTTTGACCGAACCCGGAGAGATAAGGGGAGCCAACCTTTGGGATGGGAGGGGACAATTTCCAGCGGGCTGCACTCCTGGGTCTGTACCATGTGCATGTCCTCATATTAACATGTGAATCCAGAGGTGAGTCAGAGAGGAAGCAGAAGGAGAGCACTGTAATCAGTGAATCACTTTGCATATCCAAACTTCCTTTTACAGGCAACAGAGGGGCCCTCTACTGTGGACGACCAGCACCCTACAGTGGCCCAAGGTACTGTAGGAGCCTTCCAAACAATCTGGGGCACCGTGCATAGAGGCATCAGTTTCTGCTCCTTGCCACACTGCAGTTATCAGCATTTCATAACTACAGTATCTAAAGTACAATTGTATTAAGAAACACTTTATACAGGTGATAGCCAAAATCAGATCATGACCCAAATAGCTTTTGTCCAGGCAGACACACTGAAATTGCATCTATGAACTCCACCCCCAAAACTGAAACGATAAATACTAACTTTAACTACATCATTACAGCTTTATAAACAAAAACTACGTCAATACAATCCCAATGAATTCAACAGTTGGGTATTTTAATACAGGCCAGAGCAAGCTTTGCATATTGCCATGGTGAAATGTCAAACACAGACGTGAGAAGATATATGTATAATTTTCCAAAGGACGAATACAACTGTTGCTTGCCTTGCCACACCCAGAGTAAACATATCTCAGCCACATTCATGTATGACATGACACCAGCACACACCAGAGCTTTCACCTGAAACACCACACAAAGAGCACAGACAGAGCAGGGATGTGACAATAGTTTCTAGGCTGCAAAAATAAACCAGCTCACCTGTCCTCCTCTCAGTGACTTTTAGCTGCACAAGCACATACAGTAAAGCATGTACCTAAGAACAATGATCTCTAAGTATCCAAAGCTCAGAATCACACCACATAATGGATTTTAAAGTTTGAACTCACTATTGTGCGCAGTCGATGAGCTGGTACTCATTGGACCTCTCAAAGCATGCCTTCACTCCTTCATCATCCCACAGCTTCTTTGCGTGATCAAAGAACTCCTGAGGAGAAAGAAAGAAAGAAAGAAAATCATTATGAAACAAACAACAGACAATAATATATCCTGTAAAACATAAAGACTTGGAGACTGTGGAAAGGTCAGGGGCCTTGAAATCATATTCACACTGTTAAAGCAGACACTGCAAAATGAACTGAGACAAACACATTGCACACACTCAGACATTTTGACAGAGGGGAAAACCCACCTAAACTTGCATGGACATATATTAGCCTCTCTTCAAAGCACATTTAATTACCGTTTGCTTGAGTAATGTATGACTCCTGGAAGTGTAATATAGGATCTTTTGTAGCGTGTTAGGTTGTTTTTAAAAGGGAGTTTAGTGGACTTAATTGACCCCTCTGCCACAGCACATTTTGATGTATATAATAAAAAAAAGTTAGCCAAAAATTATGCACTTTACTCATGTAGACCTATACACAAATGCCTACACCATGCCTCACTTCATTGCCTCAGCAATCGCGTTACCCGTAGAGAAGGGTCCCAAGAACCTTTTTACTCCAGCTCCACCACCAGCAGGAGCAGAAAAACTAGTATTATTTCCAGACAAACAGGTAACGGCCACAAGGACCTTGTGCAGCTTCCTGGAGTTTGTCAGCATTGGTACGATCAAGCCTATTTCCACTGGATCTACTGTACACTAACACCCAGGTTTATAGACCTCATCTGGCAACCTGCACAACACTGTTGGACAGAAAAAACAGGAATTGTTTTTTTTACATTTCTGCCTGTGTTTCGATTAAACAAACATGAAAACAGCTTTAAAGTTGTGAGTTGACACGTCCCATCTCCAGCTCCATTGTTAACGCACTGACATTCTCTTATATCACTCTCAGGAGAAAAGTAGTAGTAGTAACTTTACTACTGTAATGTAAATTATTAAATAATACAGAAGTCATATTAATACGACAAAAATAATTTGACTTACTCGACAACTGACTGTAAATGTTATAATTTGCCTTCTGATGGACTTTTTTTTTTTTTTTTTTAATTATAGCATCTAAGGTGTAGAGGAAGGCAGGTTTACAGTAGACCTAAACATTATATTCCTCTCATTTAGGGCTGCAACTAACAATTATTTTCATTGTCAAGCAGATATAGTGACTTTATATTTCCAAAAAAGTACAAGAAAAAGCTATTTAATACTGTATGCAGTAATGAATGTACTTGAAATCAGTCACTTTATACTAGAGCTGCAATGATTAGACAATTAATCAATTAGTTGTTTGTTAGAAAAATAACTGCCAACTATTTTGATAATCAATTAATCATCATTAAGTCATTTTTCAAGAAAGAATTATATCAATCTGATGGTTGCACATTCTCAAATGTGAGAATTTGATACTTTTCTTGATTTAACAATGCAGTTGATTAAATATCTTTGGGTTTCGGACTGTTGGTCAAACAAAACAGGACATTTAATGACATCATTTTGTGCTCTAGGAAATCTTGATAGATCTTTTTCACTGTTTTCTGATGTTTTATATACCAAACAATTGTTCCATTAATGAAGTAAATAATTGGCAGATTCTTTGAAAATGAAAATAGTCTTATTTGCAGCCCTACTTTACACCTCTCTCAGCTGTGGCAGAGGGAGTTTATTCACTTCCTCGATACAGGTTTATCCAACAGTTCCTGAATTCAAACTCATGACTTTCTGGTCACAAGCTCTCTTCTCTAAATTCTAAGCTAAAGCAACAAAGGTGTGTGTTGCAAATGTTACAGCTCCACTGTGATCCAATTCAGATCACACTATAGAATTAAAGAAAAAAAGAAAAAGAAAAAGTTAATTTTCGTCTTCTACAACATACAAATATAGCCAGCGTACCCGCTGTGCAAAATCCATCCATAGGCCTGATGCCGTATAAATGACTATACATAATGTCAGTGCTTCAGCTGACTTCCTGCTCCTGGACAATGGGGAGCATTATGAGGGGAGCTCATCTTATCAATGACTTTGAGACATTTCCCAGGACTCTCTGTATTCCCCAAACAAAGATGATTGGGCTAATATCCCTCGTCGCCTCCTGTGCACATGTCTTTCAGATGGGCTCCTCCTCTTGCCTGGAACCACCACATGACTCTCTGCACTCAGCACTGGCTCTGCGCTCTGACTGGGGAGAGGGTGAAAGTAGCCCCGAACCAAGAGAGAGAGAGGGAGAAGGAGCCTGATAAATGATCACATGCTCCGGGAGAGCTCCTCTCGGCAGATCCGGTGATTAAGTTCAACATGGAGGAAATCCACTGATCTAGTCCACACAGAAAGTCTCACAGAGCCAGGGAGACATTAATATTTATTTACTTTTTTGTTACAGATGAATATATTCTGACTCTTCAGGCATAAGTCAGGAATCACCTAAAAACTATGATGCTATCATGTTATCTATAAGTGCGGTAATACATTGTTTTCAATTAAACAACCAGGGTTCAGTTTCTTGTAACATAGCATTTTAACTGCTGCACCAAACTCTTGACTAACACAGAAAATGGGGCCATATTTGCTTTCTTGCCTGTATTTGCTTCCATTTCTGTTACAGTCAAACTTTAACACCCGCCTCAACTAATATCAATATGATTCAACAGTGCTGATTACATTCTTCTGCTATTAGTTCTCTCCAAATTTTGACACAAGCAGACAGTGAGGGGCTTGAAAACCCAAAGACGGGCCTGACGAAGCTAGCAAGTGTTGGGACTTGATGGAGGGAGGACGAGGGGTAGAGGGTGGAAGGGGCAGAGAAGGGAGGAAAAAAAAAAAAAAAAAAAAAGCAGAGTATGGTCCTCAGGGCTCTTTTCCACAGAGGCGTGTGACACTGGGCCTTTGAATAAATGCAGTGTGTGCTGCAGTGCCCTACAGAGGAACTGATAACACAGAAAGAGACCAGGAGGGAATCTGTTTTAACACAAGCTTTTTTAACTCTTTCCTCTGCTCTTCCCAGTTCACCTCCACCCCATCAGCAGCCATCAGAAGCTGATTCTCTGGTGGCTTCTGCTCGGACTGATTCTCAGTCCAGCCTTAGTTTCAATGTTAATCAAGTTGGGTGTGTGTGATGTAATATTTCACTTGAATCATATAGGTCAGGCTGACACAGAGAACAAAATGGCCTAAATCTGATTCGACTTGGCAAAACAAAGTTGTGGAGCAAACAGGCTTGCATCTTCAGTCGCAAAAAGACACTGGAATTCCTTTGGGTAAAGTTTTTGAAGGGACCTTTGGCCTTGGAACAAAACATACAGTAATAGCCAATAACCCCAGACCCCTCCATACATACCCAGCCAGACAACCTGCTAGCTCCCCTGTAAACCATCATCATCTCATTTACTGGATTTGAATAGAATATCTGTGTTAGGTAACAGTCACCCAGCAGAGAGAGACCTGACTTTCGTGGGTTACCTCAGTTAAAGAGTACAGACAAATTTAGCTAAAAAAAAGAGAGCAATAGCAAAAAGGAGAGAGGGAGCGACTGTTCGAGACTGTTCATCTTTCATAACATGGATCCAAAAACAGAGCAGCCCTCCTTGACACCCTTTGCCCCACATCACAGATCTTCAACTAATCAATTGCAGAAAAAACAAACTTCTAGGACTCAAGCTTTTCATCATGAGGAAATCACTAAAGAGGCTAACAACAACAAGAGAACGCTATAGAGGTGTTACCCTTCACGGCTGTAGTGGAGAACAGAAGAAGAAGAAACACAAATCAGGTCATGTTCTCTAACAAAAGTCATAATTATGGGTCTGCCTGTAAACTGACATCAGACAACATTAAATAAAAGTTAGACACTCGCTGGCAATCGTTGATGGGCACAAATTTAGCCATGGTTTTAAATTTAAACAACTCATCAGTACAGTAATTCTGCACCCAAACACAAAAGTGAATCAGCTCAACAATGGGTGGGGCTGTACACAGTATGAAGCTCACCTTCCTCAGCAATATAACAACAGATTGTAATTTATATCCTCAAGCAAAGAACAAACTTTTGTGGACATAATCCTTGTCTTTTTGTTGGGAGGGTACACAAGAAACCTTAACAGCTACTCAGTTTTTACAGTGACCTGCTTGCATAAGCATCAAATGGAGAACATTACATGTAGGTTTTAACATGTCTGATAGAGGGAAAGCTACATGGTGCAAAACAGGGGCCGGGGCTCATTTGAATTTGCTCCACTCCAGTTGACAGACACTGTCGGGTGGCTAGCATAGCTACCGCAGTGGCATTTGTTTCCATTTGCATAGACAACCGTTTGTATCTGTTCTTTTTTTTTTCCTTCTGTTATCCCTAGCTACTGTAGGAAAAAGTTTTTGAAAAAGGGATGCTTTGATGATAAAGACTAAAGGCCATCAAAACTAAGCATGTCGAGTAGTATATAGGACAAGGGGGAACTGTTGCTCTTGCAAACGTCCCGAGTCATGAAAATGCATGCAAATCTCATTTTTAAAATTTGAAAGAAAAATACACCCTACGTTTACTGTTATTGGCAGTGTAGCTCAGATTTCAGGGCCTATCCTGTTCTTTTTGATTTGACTCACCCAAAACTGATCATGTAAAAGACATTTCATGATATTTCAGACAGAAGTGTCAACAGTCAATGTCATAATTTCATATCAACACACAACAAATATACAGGAAGAAATCTGTCGCTTAAGAGGAGCGACACCAACTTCTCCACCATAAACATCTTCAGCATCTCATGACACCACACAGCCATGGCTCTGCTGCTTGTCACCTTCCTTTTTGAATAACCAGACACATCACATCACCACATTGTTCTCTCTCAGGCTCACTCTTCATGACTGGAAAAACCTTACTACGCTGTCAAGTCAAAGGACCACACACAATACCAATATATGATACCGGATATACAGAGTTGCTATAAAATTTGGTAAGAAACGGCACAGACTGGACTGGACACAATGACACAGCAGTATAATACACGTTTATCATGGCAGAAGGTAGAGAACAATGTTTACTCAGCTGAGACTGAAAGAAAACAACTAAAATGGTCAGTGTATTTAACCATTCATATACAAAGTTCTCAGATTCTACATTGGTTTCAAAAAAATGTGTGGAACAGAAAATCACTAGATTCAGTTGAGAAGGTTTTTGAAGAGCAGCAGCCAAGAAAGCAATCTGAATATCTAAAACAAGCTGTTTAATCAACTAGACGATCGACAGAAAGTGATTTGCAACACTTTTGAAAATCAATAAATCATCTGAGCCACTTCTCAAGCAAAAATACAGCTACTGATTCCAGCTTCTCAAATGTGAAGATCTGTACTTTTTTAAGTTTTAAGTTTTAAGTTTAACATCATTATAAATTGAATTATCTTTGTTTGTTGGACTGTTGGTTGACCAAAACAAAATATATGAAGACATCAACTTGGACAACAGGAAGCTGTGATGGACATTTTTCACTATTTTCTTCCATTTTATTGACTACAAGATTTACCAACAATCGGCAGATTAATTGATAATAAAAATAGCTGGAATAGTAGCAACCCTAGAGAAAAATTCCTACTGGTACATGCTGAGCTATTACCATCAGTCTCTCCACCTACACATATACAGCAAGTCATTCAGGGAAATGTAGGAAGTGAAAACTTACTGTCTACTTCTTCCCCATCATCGCAATACCTTATCACAAAACAACTGCTAAAATTTATTTCATTGCAACATCTTGTTTCTCAAGAGTTGGCTTTCCTCTTTATATTATAAATTAATGAACTTTGGTTCACCATGACATCATCTGTTCAAAAGTTTCCAGATAAAATGTGCTTCCACTTTTCGAAATGGCGCCAACAGGTGAAAGCCACAGGTTACTGATTGGCCGTGTTCCTGCGCTGCTGTATTGGATGTCATGCCTGGTGGCACTAAGTGACAATGTAGTGGTGACACTGACGGCACAAGTGAAGCCTGAGACTGATGACAAGCACAGAAACTCCAAACAGAGCCATGTTGTTCCCGTTGGCCTGGCCAGGCCTGGGAACTCAACGCGGGCTCTCCCCATGGCCCCGGCCCTCACACAACACAACATCACAGCAGCACAGACGACTGCTGCCCTGTTAACATGCTCACTGTTGGGCCCTGTCAGGAAATTAACACCCAAATCCTTTTAATGGATATTCCTAAGATGTGCCATTAAATAAGTTATGTTAAATAAGTTTCTGAGAGGGATCTTGAGAACTACTGCAGTTATTTTTATTATTGCTAAGATTTACAGGAGCAATGCAAAAACAGCAATATTTTGATAGAATGGATCAGATCCTAGGACTGCAAGAACCAAAAATCCAACTGAGCGTCCACTCAACAAGGCCTCAGCATTATCCAAACTTTGAGGCCTCGTTGGAAAAGTCAGACACCATATGATAGCAACAGTTCAAAACCACATGTGAAATCAATTCCACTTTATCTAATTTTAAGCAGTGAAGATCTGCAAACTTTATAGAATATTTTTCTTAAAATGAAACAAGCTCCAGCTCTTTGTCGATTAATCATTTAGTCTATAAGGTATCACAAATTTAGAAATGCCCATCACTAAACCCCAGGCAACACTCAAATGTCTTGTCCAGTACAACCAACAGTCCAACACTGAAAGACATTCAAAAAAGTACAGTTTTTTTTTGTTTTTTGTTTGTAAAATGACTCCGAATTAATCAATTAGCAAAACTGTTGTTCAAAAATTTTCAGTTGATCGACTTATCAACTAATCGTTTCAGCTCTAGAAAATTTAAAAGTGCTTGGTACCTCAGTTGTCTCACAATGATGAGAAAAGGGATCATTGTCAACTCCACAACTAACAGTAAAACCTGATGAACCTAATAGCATGTTAAAACTTTCACTTGATTCCAACTAAAGTGGACTAATAAACAAAAACCAAACCTCCATGAGTTTATCTATATCTCTGTATTAATTTGCCATTCCTGTTTGGCAGCGCTGCACAATCAGTGTCAAACAAGGAACACTTTCAAAATTATGTAAAACATTATCTACATTTCCAACACATGACCTCGCACTATTGAATGGCTGATCACACACTGAAAAGAATCCCATGTGCTCCAACTTGCATTCAAATCCACATACAGTAAATCTGCTTTAGCTCTGAAGGGGGAATCAAACCATTAACAAGCACTTGACACTGTTGATTTCATACGGGTTATTTGTCATTTTCATTCTTAACTTCCAAAGGGAAAGTCAATACCTTTAGCTATAGTTTGTTAAAAAAAAAAAGACCCCACCATGTAATAAAAAGGAGTACATTTACAAAAAAAGGCAACATGAGGCCTATTATAACAAAATTACATCCAACACCCCTGAGCTACATCCCTAAGACCAACTTTGTTGGCCATAAAAAAAGCAAATGCTCTCATCACATACCATCCAACACCCACGCAAACACACATTAAGAAAGACAGAAAAAAGCACATCTATACCATCCCAGCTCTTCTTTCATTGTCTCTCACACACATATTCACATCTGCAAACACACACATACTCTCACAGAAACTTAATGAACATCTTACCTGTGAATAGTCAAAGTCAGAGAGAGGTGCTATGCTTTTGATGTATTCGATTCTGAATTGGTCCTCTGGGTTGGCTAGCGGGACAGGGGGTATTAAAGTGCTCATCGCAGACACTATAGTCTACAAAGCAGAAGTTGTGGGAGAAAACAAAAAAAAAACAAGCATTAAGCAGGATGAATACAGGACAAAAAAATCTGATCGTAAGCCTGTATAATAATCAGTGAAATGGGATTGCAGTGGGATTCAGTGTAACAACAGAGACATTGAGCACATTTTGGGGAAGGAATACAGATAAAACTCACCACTATGGCATCCTTCACGTTTTTCCGAATATCTTGGATTTTCTGTTTCTTTTCTCTGCATTGGGGGAGAACAGATGTGTGAGGCAACAATTGCGAAAAACAAGAACCACAACAGACAACAAAAGGTTTATCATCACAGTGGTTATGAGTAAGACAGGGGTTACTGCCAGGTTAGACTGTGTTTCAATGCATGTATACATACATTACAGGTGTCGAGGCTGGGAATATGTGCCAGTGGAGGACGGGTAACAGTGAAATGCAAGATGGGGTTCATTAAAATGCAAAAGTAAAGAGATATGATGTGCCATAGTCAAGATTTTATCTCATTTTTTTGAATCTTAAAAATGCCAGATCATGCCTCCTATCCTCTAAAATCCAGCCTCTTCTTCAAAAACACTTTGAATTTATACATAAAAAGAATTTTTATACAGTTACAGGACTGACATGTACTAGGCCTGTTTAAAATAGACCACTGGTAAGATCAATGCCATGCAAGGCCTTGCAGCAAAACAAATCATCAATAGGCCTGTGTCGATCACAACCTTTCACCCTCTCACATGAAACAGGAAACAGTGAATTATTTGGCATCTGTGTGACACTGAGATCCTCACATATGTATGATAACTGTACATGTACACGAAAAGGAGAAGGAGGGAAAAAAAGAGAGAGAGAGAGGGAGAGAGAGAGAGAAAGAGGGGAAAGATATTAGCTGCTTTGCATGGGATACTGGGCCCAACAGGCGCTGCAGTGCCTGGGGAAAATCCATTCACAGGCTATATTCTGGCCTCGACAGTATTATTCATTAGGAGGGAAGCCGTAAAAATAAGCGTTAATATACATTTTGAGCCGTTAACGTTGCTGTTTAATAAGTGTACTGAATAGCACTCACTCCGCGTTGAAGCCGTTGACGTGTAGAATCCTCATCTGCTTCACAATGGTGCTTTTTCCGGACTCTCCCGCACCTTCGAAAATAGACCAAAAAATACATAAAAATATCACCAAATGACCACAAACGAGGATATCCTGGTTAGCGTAAAGCTCCCCCCCTGCCCAAAAAAATGTTTTGGAAATGAAGCCAGTTAATTGTAGGCTCTGGTGGAGCTTCGCTTCCATCAATATCCACCCCCATGACATATTATTGCAAGCGCTGTCAAATGGGGCTACGTGTTCGGTAAACGAAAGGGATTACGGTTAGCTTACATTTCACATAGCCTATCACACATAAATCAGCCTTACCCAGTAATAAGAGCCTGTGTGTGGCTTTATAAGCTTGTCTTTCCTTTTGCAACTGTTTTTCTATCTTTTTATTAGCCTCTCGTTGTGCCTTTTCGTCGATGCGTTGATCTTCAGTCTTGCTGTTGCCCAAACAACCCATCTTCCGTCGCCCTAACCCTTCCTTGTGGAATCGTAAAAAAATATATAGAAAATAATACCAGGGATGATATTGTGGTTTAAAATAACACAGAACGAGTCTACTGTAAAATAAAAAAAGGGGGAAATCTCTGCGAGGCTTCTCCGTCGGAGGGAGGAATACGTTCCCCGTTACAATTCCGCTTCAGCCGCAGCCAACCGTCATCCAAACCGCCTGTTAGTTTACAAACCGACGAAGAATGACGACTCGGTTAAACAGAGGAATACCCAAAAAATACATATAAATAAGAAGAGAGAGAGAGGGTTTTCAATTCCTGGGAATCCAGTCAACTGTTCCTATCGCGTCTCCAGCCCCTCTCTTCTCTCCGTATTTTTTTCTATCTGAATTTCTATCAGTATTTCTGTCTCTTTAACTCAGCACTGCCTCTCTCTGTGGCACCAGGAAGTAGCCGTGGACCGTGGAGGAGGAGGTGGAAAACAAACCTCCGTTAAACTGTAACATTAACAACCCGCACTGATAGAGCATTTTATAACTTGTGTGGCAGAGGGAGAGGAGCCATCAAACTAATCGGCAAAAGTGGTGGAGGCCCGGTCGCCTCACTGCTGGTTTACAGGAGGGGCTGGGTCTCTTCTTCTTCTTCTTCTTCTTCTTCTTCTTCTTCTTGTTGGCCTCCAGTCGGAGTGGTGGCCCTGGCCCAAACTGGCAACCCTTTTTACAGTGTGTGTGTGTGTGTGTGTGTGTGTATATGTGTGTGTGTGTGTGTGTGTGTGTGTGTGTGTGTGTGTGTGTGTGTGTGTGTGTGTGTGTGTACTAGGCTTTACCTACGTTTGAGTTTTTTTTTTTTTTTTTTTTTTACACTAAAATAAGTCTGGGAACCATCAAGGTAGTCCTAAGCAGTACTTTTACTTATGTAAAAGCAGTTATGCCCCTGTTTAAAAATACTCCATGAAAGTACCAGTTCTGTATTCAAATTTGTGGTCTATAGGATAGTTTCATGGTTGTCAAAGGAGCAGGTGAAAGTAGGCTACCAGTTTTTCTTACAGTGGTGGAAGTAATACTGAAGTACTACAGTAAATGTAGCAATACCAGAGTGTAAAAATACTCTGTAGTTACAAGTATTGAAATTTTTACTTAACTAAAAGGAAGTGCTATCAGCGAAATGTACTTTAAGTATCAAAAATAAAAGTAGTCTTTATGCACCAGAGTGACACCTGTCAGTTATATTACTGTGTATTATTCAATTATTATTACTGTTGCTGCATAGATGTGTAAGACGCAATTTATTGATGTAGCTGGTCGAGGTGGCGATTATTGTTTGTTGGGTAGTTTAATATGACAGTGCTTCATATATTATAAAGTGATCATCCGTTTTTTATGTAAAATGTATAGCTGTAAAATAAATGTAGTGGAGAACAAGTACCGGTTTTCCCTCTGAAATGTAGTGAAGTGGAAGCATAAAACAGTATAAAATAAAGTATAAATACCTCAAAATTATGCTTTAAATCAGTACCTGAGTAAATGTACTTAGGTACTGTCCACCACTGATTTGCTGAACATCAAGAAACTACAATTGTGACGTGTTAATTTTGCATAAATCTTCTGCACAAAAGAAAATTGCCAAGGAGGGATAATAATATAGGAAGTTAGTCATTTGTTCAAAATGATTTATCTTTAACGTCACTTATTTGCGAAAGTAGGTCAAGACAAGTAAATTAATTTTCATCCCAAACTGACCATGTGTTTTGACTCTAAAATCTTAATCTGCAAAGTAACTGTAGCTGTGAATAAATGTAGAGAATATGTACAATATTTCCATCTAAAATGCAGTGAAATAGAAGCATAAAGTAGCATATAATAAAGTATAAATGCCACATAAATATTCTTAAAGGCACTACTTGAGTAGAGGTACTTAGTTACTTTCCACCACTGATTTACTGTACATAAAGAAACTACAATTGTGACATGTTAATTTAGCATAAATGTGTATACTGCACAAAAGGAAACTGCCAAGGAGCAATATTAATATTGGAAATAAGTGGCTCCAATTGGCCACCTTTTTTATACAAATATTACTGACAACTAGTCCTGGTGGTTAAAAGTAACTAAGTACTTTTACTCAAGTATAGTACTTTAGTACAGTTTTGGGGGGCTTGTACTTCCCTTCAGTAATTCCATTTTACACTAGTTTAAACTTCTACTTCATTACATTTACTATATACTCAAATGCATTTATCTGGTAGCTGTAGTTAAACTGTCAAATAAATGTAGTGGACAAAAAGTGCTCTGAAATGTCAAGGAGTAGAAACATAAAGTGGGATGACATGGAAATAGTCAGGTAAAGTACAAGGACCACAAATTTATGCTGAGTAGAATGCTTAAGTTAATGTACTTAGTTACTGTGCATTCCACCACTGTGCATCATATTATCAATACACAGTGAAAAATACTCTTTTACAATCAAAAGTCCTGCATTTAAATTTTTACTTAAGTAAAAGTACAAAAATAATCTGTACATCACTTTAATGTTGTAGCTGGACAAGGTGAGGGTCATTTTATTTACTTTATATACTGTGGGGTATCTTATAAATTCCCCCATGAGGATCAATTAAGACTTATCTTAACCTGTAATCATACATCAGTATATCTGTAAAGTAACTAGTAACTACAGTAATCAAATACATGTAGTTAGTAAAAAGTACACTACTTGCCTATGAAGTGTCGTAGAGTAAAAGTATAAAGTAGCAGAAAACGTAGTAGAAAAGTACAGTATGTAATAAATATACGTAGTTACTTTCCACCACTGATTACCATGAAAGCAGCTTTTTAATGTTGCAGGTGGTTGATTCGGAGCAAATCTAATGGACTTGTAATGGAGTATTTATGCTGCAGTATTTCTACTTTTACTTCAGTTAAAGATCTAAGTACTTCCTCCACCACTGAGGAAAAGTGGCAATACCACCACTGTGAAAATATAATGTCTGCATTCAAGATTTTACTAAGTACAAAAGTAGCTTCAGTAAAATGTACATAAAGTATCACAAGTATATGTACAGACAGAGTTATATTATTGTGTGTATGTATTTATATATATCATATTATTAGAATATTATCATTGATGTATTTATATATTAGCATATTAAGCAACTACTTTACATACTGCTGTTGTTTAACTAGAGTACTGCATCATGTTTTGTGTGTAAAATGAACCAAGTAATAAGTGACTAAAGCTACCAGATAAATGCATTTGCGTAAAATGTACAATATTTTACTCTGAAATGTAGAGAAGTAGAAGTATAAACTAGTGTAAAATAGAATTACTGAAGTGAAGGACAAGCCAAACAAGGTAGGAAGCCATTGCTTCTGTGGACTTTGCATCCTGCAAATTCTCAACAGAAGTGGCTTGGATTCAATCACACAAAATATAATGGCAAAATAATGAGCTATACACAGTATATCATCTTACTGTAAAATTGTAGTGGTACCACAGGAAATAAAAATAACAGTTTAAAAATTCAGTTTGATTAGGTCACTATACAGTCATCACTGAGCCTCCACCAACAGGAACACAGGAATATTATAGTGATACCTTTAACATAAAAAAGGAAATACTGTTTATTATGATATGATAAAGTTCACACCATATTGAGCACATTGTCAATCTTACAGTGAAGATACTTGTCTTGCATATGCTCCGCCTCTGTAAATAAAAGTGATGTTAAGGATAAATTATTTCAACAATTCCACTCAGTGTGAACACACCACAGGCCCACTTTGTTTACTCTGTAACAATTTACCAGCTTTTACCTGCCACAGACAAGTAAGTACTGTAAACTCAACTCATTACACTACAGAGCACTACTGTGGGACCTCACATTATGAAAAACCTTACATAACACTTACTATACTGTCACAGACAAATAAATATGTTTGTGACATATGATGAAGTTGTATCTACAAACTCTCTAAAACACAGAACAGGTACTACATTAACTGCAGTCTAGCAATAGAAGTTATGGTCATGACATTTAGGAGGAAATAGAAAAACTGTCACTGTTGTGCGTATTGTCTGACATTTATGTTTAGCTTGCTGTGGCTTCCTCTCCACCAGACCAAAATGGGGTTGTGGATTTGTTACGGTTTGACTTTTCACTATCCAGCACTGCACTTTCCATTTAGACTGCCATTGTGTTATTTGCAGGTGACAATTGCACTGACATTACTACTACTCTGTCAGTATGTTTCATTCAAGAGCAACTGGTAAAACTTAGGCCAGCCTTAACATTGAGCTAATGCTAGGCTAACTTGCAATACTAAACTGTTGCACTCTGGTAAGACAAAAACAATCATTACATATACACTGTACTGTATGCTTATATTACAAACACTCATAGATCACTCAATAGCATGAGACAACCATGAATGATTTGTTGTGTAACATATAACAAGGAGTGTGCTGTTATTATGTCCATTATGCAAACACAATGCAAATACTAGTCTCATGTAGTGAAATGAGTGCAACAAAGTTGTGCAGCATGCAAATCGAGACTGGAACCCTCCGTTCACCTATAGTGGTGTGAAAATAGTAGCACC